GAATGAGGTCGTTTAGAGCCTGCCCTGTTATTTCTATGCATAATTTGCACAGCAGAGGCCGAATCTGAGAAATTCTGACTAGAGAACTTGTTTACCATTTGAACATATCTGAGCTATTTCTTAAATCTTATTCCTTCAAGATGATATTTCTAAGCTGTAGAGAACTCTTTATATCAAACCAGAATCCTTAGCCAAGGATTTTCTTCTAGAACAAGGTATGACAGAGTTGTTCATTTCCAAACAAGCTACGGTTGTTTTGATTTTACTTTAACTGTGGGATGGCAGTCTCTCTATGTATCAGCCCGTCTATAAAATGACACTTTGCTATATAGAAGGGATGTTGTGAGGCTAAATAGATTATGAAAGGCTGACATGTACTCTCAGGTGTATATTCATATTAATCTAGGATTACCACCTAGTATTTACTATAATCTTCCTTAGGCATTAGTGATATTGACTTGAGCCGGGATATCTGAACTACTGCCCTTCATCTGGATTTGGTTTCCTACTTGTAGCCGAGGTAAAGCCCAAAGCTGCAGCTTTAATGCAAACATAACTTTCACATTCCTTTTGCAGAGACTGAGCAGTGAGTAGTGATTGATTTGTATATACTTCCAAAGTGCTTTTCTGTATACTTCCAAATTATGCACAAATAGGAACTCAATAAACTTAAATTAAAAAAAAAAAACACTTAAAAAAGCAGCTTAAAAAATTCATTATTTGACTGACTTTTTACAGATAATATGAGAACAAGGACAGCTATGTAGGAAAAAAGCGGCCTAGGCAAAGCTTCTTGGATCTTGATATTTTAAAGAGTTTTGTTTTAGCAGCTCACTATTTTAGCAAAACACTATGCAGACATCCAGAAGATGCAATCTCGATAGCCCTTGCAGCCCTTGCATCATCTCCTGTGATGCATTTCTCATGAAATCTACAGTTTTATAACACTAAATTGGAGGCATAAAGATGTAGCCTATAACACAGTTTCCAAACTGAGTAAAATCAGATTTATCCTTTAGAAAGAGATAAAAGAGTTACAATTTAACATCTGTAGGGATGTTATCTTGAAAGATTATGAAGCAATGTTTTTTTCCAGATGGCTGCATCCCTTTGAGGCAGGAGGGAGCATGCGTCTGCTTTCCATGCTTGCAGAGTGTAGTATATAAACACTGTTCTAATTCTAACAATAAGAATCTTCATTCTCTATTAAGCAGATACTGAAAGCTTTGAATAAAAGCCTTAAAAAGCTCAGCTGAAAGTATTAATTCTGAGAAACATGTAGATCTGGGTGAAATCTTCCATTCATTTTTAATCTCAGTATGGTAAGCCTTGTAATTAAGATGATTAAATGACTAAATAAAAGCCTGTATTTACATCCTTTAGAATGCCACAATGAACAGCAATAATACTGTTTATGGGAAAAAAATCAATGAAGACCTTTCTAAATGGAGTCATCAAACAAAGGTTGTTATTTAAGCAGTTGGTTATTAATGAACCTCTCACTTAGCAAGAATACCTAAGAATTAACCCTCTAGTAAACACACCCAGGAGAAATAGCCAATGGGGGGAAAAAAAAAAAAGAGGATCAAATGCATTGTTTATGGATGACTAAGCTATCCGCTATGAAAATATTTCACAAGGGACAACTGAAGGGCTTTCCAACAAAAAAGAATTAATGGGAGAGCTTCTGGAGTAAATACATTAAAATTAGGTAGGACTCTCAAAGAAAAGAGAGGAAGCATTTTCTGGAATGATGATCCAGGGAAAGCAGGGTTTGAGAACCTCCTGGTGGCTGTTTGTCTGCAGGAGAAAAGTGTCTGCACAAAAGCAACATGTAGGCATTTTCTTTTACTGTTCAGAAAGGGCAGATAGTAACTGTCCTGAAAAAAACTCCCTCATTTTGCTGTTTAGCTATTTCTCAGCAAAGATGACAACAACTCATTTATTAAAAGCAAGGCGTAATTCTGTCATCTGAACTGCACTGCAGACGTTCTGAATATATTTCAGGTGCATTTTTTGCTTATTTCCCCTGTAAAATATTTGGACAACAATCTAATGAAAACCTACATGCATAATGTATATATATGTCAAGATTGTGTTTGTTTGTTTATTTATTGCATTACCTCTTGATAATATATCAAAGCATTAATAAACAGAAATAAAATCTCTACCTATCTATGAAACCCGCCTTCCCAAAAGAAACTACTATAGTATTTTTTAAGGCACTGGTGCTTTGTAAAGACATTCAGGTTTTTCTAGAAGAATAGTATTCTGTAAGGTATTATTCAATCAAAAATATTTACTTTATCTCCCATTTGAAGACATATTAATAAACCCTTGTCTCCTTTAATATAGTGTTCTTTTACTCAGTCATCTTTCTTTTCCCACAATGATATCGTCATTTTTTAAAAGGATTCAATCCTGAAATTCTCACTCAAGCTTTTAAGTAGTTATTAACTTTAGAGATTGAGAAATGGGATGCTATTGAGGGAAGAATAGCTTATGAGGTTGTGGAGAATTATTAGATTTGATATTGTATCATGGACCTCTCTCCTGGGATAGTAAATGAAGATTATTTCTAAAGGTACTGATCAATGTAAATAAATCAATATAGCTGAGTTCATGGCGTTCATTTATAAAATGACAGAATGTTTTCTCTATCAGAAAACATCTCCATAACTCATGGTCACGTTAATGTTAAACATTTATGCACTCCATGTGAACTTTAAACAATATTTAACACAGATATATCTTCTACAATAGCTTAGTATTCACCTAAAGATTTGTCTCCCAGATGATTTTAAGGGTCAAAAATTGTTTAGGCTACTACAGAAAACAATACTATCTTTGCAAATCAGACCCAGAAACTAAAAAGGACTATTCAGAAATAGGATACTTTCAAAATAGGCTATTTTGTATTTTAGATGTTACTGCACACAAATCTGTGAAGTCGCTCTGCTCTGCGAAAAGACTTTCAGAAGTTTCATATTCGCTGTTTAATTTCCATATTAAACTCACACCCTTCCCACTTCATTTCCTGCCTTCGTCCAAAATTCTGTTTCACGGACGGACTCCGATCTCACAGTCATCTTTCGTTTACGTCGTGTACCTCATTACCAGAACTTCATCGAATGATTTATTGTTGAAGCATCACCAGGCGTGGAATTTTTTCTAAGGCCCATGGAAGTAGCTCTCCCTTTTCTGCGTAGTCTCCAGCCGCTGAACTAATGCCATTTACATTCCCATTGCTGTACACAAGGACTGGCAGCTCCTCGGTGTTACACAAGTTGGGAACTGGGAGCAGAATGCGGGTGATCCTCCCTGTCTGCTGTCCCTCCAGGAGGTCTGGGCAGGAAGGGCAGACCTTGCGAGGGAGGCCCAGTTCCCTTCCCATTCACCAGGCTGATTTAAGTCCTGCATTGTCAGTGCAGTTCTCTCAGCGTTCAGTGACTACCCTTCTACACTGCCAAACGTTTGCTGGTACAGCTATAGTAACAAAATTATGCCAATAGAGGCTCCAAATATGTTTCAGAAAGGAATTTTCCCACTGGCATAGTTACACCAGTGCTCCAAACAGTATGAACTAAACCAACTGCAAGCTGTCATTGCAGGCACAGTAGTTTCCACACCAGGGATTTTGCTGGCATACTGATGAAAAGGAAAGGTAATAGTTTTTTACAATCAAAGGCAATGTGTAAGTAACAGTTTTACAGTAAAACATTGCATTGGAACCTGACAGAATACGAGTTTAGCAGCATAATTTGAGAGAAAACTTAGGAAGGCTTTGATGCCGTACTAGGTGCATTTTGTGGAGTAACAGCTCTTAAAAGGTGTATGACTACAGCAGTAGTGAAGCCCATCTATCTTTAAACTCTCTGTTTGGGGAAATAATATTCAGGTCAGTAGCTGAAAACATCTTTCACTTCTACCTACTTCTTTTCACTCCCAAAAGTTTGAATTATTCTAACCAAGCATTAATAGCATGCACTCAGTTCCATCACATATGAATTGTAGTGTCAAAATCTGAAACAAATTATAAAGGCAATAATAACAAAAGAATGTACTCAGAAAAGAGGAAAGCACAGAGATGGCCAGAAGATAGCAAGTATTAATTATACTGCTAACAATAATATAATAATAGAAATAATTCCAGAATAAATAGAAACAGAACACATTTTCCTAATAGAAACTCAGAGAAGATCTTGTTTCCTACAGCTCTTTCTTCTGCAATGTGACTTTTTTTCATGGCTGAAATCTGAAGGAACAAAAAATCACCTCAGTAGAGACCCCTTTTCCCAAAGGGGAGCAGGACTGGCTATACTGTACCTAGTGACAAACAAGATATTCCATCTGCCAGGGTGTCTCCAGGTACTATATTGTATGCAAATATAAAGATATATTTACTTATCTGCAAATATTAAGTAAATATATTTACTTAACTGCAGAAATTGCAGGGTTACCAGTTTGAAAAGCAAAAAAAAAAACCTCTTTGGAATGTCTGCATTTTCCTTTGGAAATTTACAGGCATTCATGGGATTTATATCTCTGACTTCTAGCAGTGATGTTATTGTAGTGGAAAATAAGCTATACAGCAAGCGGAAGCAGCTAAAATCATGGTTGTACTACTAAAAACAAAAGCCAATTTGTATTCTACATCTGCATCCCAACACTGACATTTGGAACAATTTTTGAAGGTTTCTAAACTCTAAAAGAAATTTTTTTGTGACCTCAAGGCAGTATATTACACTGGTGGCATGGAGACTATTTGTGTTAGATTCAGCTTTAATAGTGGGAACAAGGCAATCTCATAATAGACATTCTGCTGCTATTCAGTGGCATTTATAGTATATGAGCTTTAATTACTCCTTTAGGACTCCAAAAAAAACTGTCAGTAGAGCTGCGTGTATCTCATCTTTAAAGTTCCACAGTCAAACACACATTCAAAAATGATCAGTATACTGTAAAAGACCAGGATCGATACAAGCTCCAGCCTACTGTACCTGGCGAATGAAGCGGTGGGGAGCACATCAGAACAACTCCTTGACCTTCACGCACAGAGACAGCGCTTCTTGTCCGACCGCTAAAATTCCCCAAATCTATCAAAAGAACACAGCATTTTAGATGCATACAAAATAAGAGGTTAAATGTTGTTGCTACCGTGACTTACAATTTTTTGTCTTGTAAAGCTGACAGTTCCTTTTTTCATAGCTTAATCTGTAATAGGAGGGCCTTTAAAAAATCAATCTATTTCCATTACAAAGATTTCTGTGTTGCATCAGCACTTTATTATTCTTTTCAGTGCACTAGGATATGATGTCAAAGGACAAGCATCACGCAATATAGTGTTTACAAAAGACATTTACTAGTGATTTTATTTCTTTCTGCCATATCCTGTTTGTTGATTTCTTTCACCAATAGAAGTCATTCATGCACAGTGAAAAAATAAATACAAGTCAAGAGAACATCTTGTCTAACGTGCGAACTGAAGACTGCTATTAATATGCCATCTGGATAATGCAGTGCACGACACATTGCCCTGAGTACAGGGGAATGTCAGCTGCATTGGTCCATAGCAGATTAAATCTGGTCCATAGCACATTTACTTTTCTTAAATACTCTCTTTCTTTCTAATTTTTCCAGTGTCCTGAATATAATCCAGATGTAGGTAAATATTCCTTGCCTCTATGTTTTCTTTAGCAGGTGAATAAGGAATATTTCACTTTTTGTACAAAAACTTTTGGATGAGTCTGCATGGTGCTGCTATGAATAGTTCGTTGTGTCAACTTAAAACCTCTCAGCCAGAGGATCTGACTCCTCTGTTTACCACAGGGAGCACTGGATCTAGATTCGCATTTGAGGTGGATAGCTGTGCTCTAGCCTGGGTATCTGCAGCAGAACAGACACAAGAGCTCAGTGTTGACATCAGACTGAAAACTTCATCCATTTGTCAGTGAAGGCAATATCATGTAAAGTCTCTGTTCACTCATAGTTGTTCTAAAGACCAGAACATTTCTCTCTAATGTGGATCCAGGGGAAGATTACTGGAAATGAGAGTACCCAAAGAAATCTTTGAAAACAACACAGAAACTTCAGCGAACACAAAATGAAGAGGCTAAATATATGAATAGAATGACAAAGTAGGAGCATCTTACGCGACAGCTCTAAGACCCATAGCTGTACCTGCTCATTTATGAGTACTGACCAAGGCGCTGGTACGAGGTTGACAGGACCAAGCTATCTGAACGTGTTGAACAGAATTATTACATTCTTAACTATGCTCTAGTGAGAGTTCTCTGTCAGATGTCAGAGTTTAATATCTTGCTTCCTGTCCCTTATTACATAAATTGAAGTTCAGTAATTTTCAAAAGCAGTGTAAGAGTTGACTTTTCATGGATTTCATAATGGGATTTTTTTTTTAAAGTAGAAAGAGACTTATGATCTTTACAACTGATTATTAATGTTTCTAGAAGGAAGTCTAAAATGTAAATGTATCTGGATGTGCACTGTCTTTGTCCAAGCTATGTCATTGTTTTCGTTTCAAAGACGTGTTCAAACAGGGAAAAGGTAGATGGGATTCAGTAGAATTTGATCCAACAATAGGGTACTATTGCCAAATTATACAGACATTTATGAGGCAATAATTAAATATTACATTGCATTTTACAATAAGTCCACAGTGGGTTGCAAAATCATCCAGTGAAATTTCATTAAAATAATGCTACCTACTGAGTGTTACCTAACACTACATTCTGCAACAATGTAATTATTATTTTTTATATTTAGAAAGCACAGGGCTGGTATAGCCCTGCATGACCACTTTATTTGGATGGGATCACAGTTTGCAATGAAGTTTTTGGAGTTAAATAATGTCTGTATTTCACTGGTACAAGACTTTAAGTCTATAATTTTATGAATGTTTGTGTTCCTAAAATTTTCTAAATGAATGCTGATACATTGACATACAATACTTTTCTGTACTTAATTGAGAAACTGAGGCTTAGATTTCATTTTTATGCATAATTTAGGAATACAATAATCTTTCTTAATGGATTATTGCTGAGTGTCTGTAAAAACAGAGGGTATACTTAAGGGTTTTTTTGTTTTTATAAAGGTCGATTTTACAGACAAGGAGAGTGACACGTAAAGCACTGAATTTCCTTAAAATTGTTCTTGTTGTCCTCCTTTCCAAGAAAATGTGATGGATCTTCTTTGTAGAGGTGTTCTAAAATGTGCAGTTTGATATACTCCTAAAGTGCTTTCAGAGCCTAAGACTATTGGCATGAATAAACCTCGAAGAGTTTAAAATATGGACAGAACTTGAACTGATGTGTCATGGCTTTGGGAAGATATTCTGAATGCAGAGCAGCTGTGCTCTGGGAGAAATATAGGCCATTTCTCTGCACATTAGAATAGGTGTTATCATAAGCAGTACTTCCTTCCCCAGCATTTGGAAAATAAAAATTACGTTGCAGTCCTCCTGCTGATATCAGCAAAGAATTTTATCAAAGATTACCTGAAACCCATCCTGCAAGTTTTCTACATGCACTATAAAAAGAAAAAGAAAAAAAAACAACCTTTTTTTTCCCCTCTAAAGCTATTTGAATCGGAGAATCAAATAGTGGACCAAATCAAAATATTACTAGTTCAATAGTCTAAATACCTATTATTGTAAGGACATATTCTCTAAAATTTACATAGAGAGAAGTCCAAGGAAGCAATCTTTCATATTATTAAGAAAAGGCTTTGAGATTTGCTTTCATAAACTATATCTGCAATTTTTCATAAATTTGAGAATAAGCTTGATAATAATATTTCTATTCAAATCTCAATTTGGAAAGTCAAATTATTTGAAAATATACCTGCCATTTGGGAAAATATTTTTATTTTTATTTTCTCTTGAAAAACTGATAACTGAAATATTGCTCCTGGAGGTAGAATATTTCAATTTGAATGTAGAATCCTGATATCTCCTAGGTATATGTTTTTATTCTTGCTACTAATGTTTTATTTCCTATGAGGCACTACCTGGAAGCCTGTCTACACGAAGAAAGGAAGCGTATGATACCTAAACTGTAACTCCGTAAGGCAGAAATAAAAGTTTAAAATAATACTGTTTTTACTACAGCGTATTTCCTGCTTTGTCTTTGCACTGTGATGAACAAATATATATACATGCATGTCTCCAAATTAAAAAAGGTAAATTTTTTTGTTAAAAATAAGAGGACTATGTGTGACCAATTAATTTCAAACTAAAGAAGGAATATAAAAACGAGCTTTGAATTTCAGCTCTTTTTGGCTCTCTGTTAGTTCTAGATTTCTTGTTAACATATAGTGAAAAAAAGGATTAACAGGTATAAAAGCAGGGATTTAGTTGTAAAACAAAAAAAAAGTAAAACTTAAAAGGAAGAAGATATGTAGGATCATGTGTGTCGTTCCTCCTTGTTGAAATAATAAGTCCAATATGGAAGAATCTAAAGAAAGGAAAACTTAAAGCATTTCCTGGGAATCTTAGCCATTTGACATCTAGCTATATTGAAAAAAATATGTTAAAGTATTAAAAACTGCATTATTTTACTTTAAAAACTCTAAAAATCGATAATAAAAGAAGGAGGGACAGAGTACAGCATTGAGGTACAGACCATCCCTGCTCACATGGTCATCGGTGCAGTATTCTCCCTGCAGCATGAATCCGTAACTTTTTTTGAATGTGTCAGATAGCCCCTCACAGCATGTATCTATCTACATATTATGATGATGCACAGGGCTAGTGGATAAGAAAATGCCTTTTTGTGCTCTTCTGATGTTCATTTCATTCCCTGAAAGATTCAATTTATTTCTGCTTATCTCAGAACGTTAGTGGCACAGATGGTAACACCTCTTGTGCGTTTTCAAAGCAGCACCTGGGGTTTCACCTTCTTGACTTCCGTATTCTTTAATATGAGCCACAACTTTTATCACTTTGAAAATGTACAGTTAAGTGTCCATTACCTTTTCTAATGTGAACATAGTGTTAGTAATGTATCTGCAAACCATGCAAAGGCTATATGACGTAGGGGGAAGGGTAGAAGCAGTACAATCTTCTTTATTGCAAATAAAATATGCAAAAGTATCTTTTGATTAAGAAATGCAGGACTGGTCTCCACTATGAAAGGGAAACAGTACAGAGGTTCTGGAGTTGGTGAAGACTTAAGACATTAAATTCAACAGTTTTGGTGCGACGCTTTCTGGGTGTTCAGTTACAACTAGCGCAATATTTCCTTGACCTTTGACAGAAGTTATCAGCTTGGGAAAAGCATTCAAATCTCTGACCCAAACCAGCTGCCAGCAGCATGGCGCTCTCTGCACCGGCTAACCCCGTTCTTCTGAAAGGAGCTGCAGTGTGGGTTTGTCCAACTGCACATACATGTGTGCTGCAAGCGTGCGATGTTCACCGCAGTGAGGGTATCAGATTAAGACCCAACAAAACACTTCCGCAGTAGGTGAAAGGAGAAATGGAAAATAAATGAGAAAAATCTCCAGGCAGTCAAAGCAACAGAAGACCTCTGCAGAAATGCAAATAAATAAATACAAAAGAAAAAAAAAAAAAAAAGAGGAAACGGCCCCTCTAGGATCAAGAGAGAATTTTTCCAGTTGTCCATTTGCGTAGGATAGGAGAATAGGAAAGCAGAGGATCAGCCACACTAAGATAAGAGAAACACAAACACAGAATTATCCTGTTTAAGAATTCATACAAAAGGCTGGAGCAGTTTTTACCTCTTACCTACCAGCCTTCCAATTCACCTTCACTCTAACTGGCCTTTTGGATATGCATAGGGGGGATCGTTTATCTTCTCTGCGCATCAGGTTTCTGCAGTTGATGGGGGAAATGCAGAAGGTACAAGTTTTTGGGGCCCAGACAACTGTCCTGTGATAATTACTGTGAAACTAGGATCAAAAAGCAAAGGATAAACAGATCTTGCATTGACTTTGGGCAGTTACTACTTGGGAATTCAGTATAGTAATCGCTGAAGGCTCGGTAGCTCGTAATTAGTGACTTAAAGCAGCCAATCCACTTTTAAAGTCAAAATCAAAGGGATGCAGAAAAACGTTCTTCACC